ATCTATTATTATTTTTATTATTATTATTATTAATGTTTATTTCTTTTAAAAGTTAATGGACCCCACTCAAATAGGTTCGTATGAACGCCTAATATAAATCTATGTAAATGTTTTACAATTGTTTTATAGTCTATATTATTTAATTGATTAATATTTACAATACATAATAATGAATTATAAATAATTATGATTTAGAAAAATGCATGAAATAAGTTTTATATTGTGCAAGTTCCATTGCGTAACCATTTTCTTCGTGACAGCTACTGAAAATGAACCGGCAAACCTGTGAACATCTGCTTGAGATGAAGTAGGGATATTTGAGTATCTATTTAATGAGTTTAAGTGACTTGGCTAGATACTGTCTCTTTTAAATCGCTTGTACTAGTTTGAACACTAATTTCTGTTACGTTTGGTGTGTGGCTGCGAATGTCTTTATGTAGAACAACTTTATTATATGTTATAAAATATGCCCGTCCACAACGATTAAAAGATGTATGCTTAATTTATTTCCAATACATATATATTTTGTTCTTTAATACTTATTGAGTAAGTCATAGGTAATAACAAAACAACTGAAAATATATTTTTGCACGACGGGAAAAAAAATTAAAAATGGTTTTAAAATAAAGCTTAAACAACTCCATAATGATTAGAAAAAACAGAAATCAAATTAACTTATAAAACTCCGAGATTATTACTAGTTCATGAAAATAAAAAATCTCCCTGTATAATATTATGGTGATTTCAGCGAGTTATGGTTATCTATATCCTTATATCAAGAAACCCTATAATACGGAACTTATTATGATATAGATAATAACGTATCGTGCATAAAACCTCGATAAAATATAAAAACATTTATAGATCAACAAATTAGTTTAATCGTTTGTACAAATACAGGGTGTAGTTATAAACTGTATATAAATATACAGGTGATAAAGTAAGAAACAAATAATGAATATTATTTTTTAGATAGGATAATGGCATACGGGGAAAATAACTAGACAGAAAACGGTGAAGGGGAAATGTATGACGAAGAAATATCTAACGGGAATCGGTTCATGACTCGTCCATTTATAACATTCTGTCAACTTAATTTGATCCAAACAAAACCAAATAAAACCTAAAAAAAAATTTTACATTTTAAATGCCGATAAATTGGTAATTTTAATACGTTTAGAAGAGGTCACTATGTGTATATTATGAACATTTCAGGTGTCTACGATTTAACTTACAACACAACAAAAAGACAAAATAGAAAACAATGAAACCGTTTAAAACTTTCCTGGTTTTCCTAAGTTCAAAATTGTAAAGAAAACTAAACAGAAAAACGACCAACTAGATAAATTGTTTTTTTCATAAGAGATACTACCCTTGAAATACCGAGCAAGATTTTTATTTGAAAAAAATTTGTTTATAAACACCAAAAATAATAAAATAATGAATAAATAAGCACACACCATAATGAAATCAATACATTTAACGCACAGAATTTAAAACTACTAGACCCAGCAGTTAATAACATCTGTATTGCTTGTGTGCGTATAACGATATTCTGATCAAATTTGATTTATATTATTTTACCATACGCTTTATCTCCCAGACTTATCACAACGAAATTATTGGTCAACAAAGACAACGACGATAAAGATAACGTGCAGGGTAAGATTACTGAACGGGAATTAATCACAACAGCATAAAATTGCGACAAGAAGACACCGACCACAATTACTAGATCTCTTCGTATTATTAAGTTCAAATAATAACAGAATAATATATAGTGAAGTGAAGTTAGGTTTTATATTATTATTATTAAAACTATTCACACGCAGTCTATTATCTATGTCTCTGCCCTATACGTTTTCAACCGAAGAAAACCTTTTTCTTATTATGTACTATATATATTAGCTATTTTGGCAAAATAAAAACCAAACCTATAAATAGCAATCTATGTTTTATTAAATGAAAAAAAAAATTCTGATACCACTGATGAATGTACTACTATTTCAAGAGAAAAATTGAAAGGGAGGATATATATTTTATATTGACTGAAGATTAATATTTAATTTTTATCTATACGCTACGGTAAAGCATTAATAAAGAAAAATGATTCTGAACAGAGTATTATTATTCGTATGTTTTCTTAGATGCCAAGATAACCTGAAAATCAACAAGAATTTGTCAGTTTTTCCCATTTATTCAGAGGAAATTCTACGTACAAAAAAAATCAAAAAAAATAACTTCCTCAATGTTATAATAGAATTCTTATAAAGTTTTTAATCAAGGCATTATATCTGGTAGAAAAATTATTTACAGACACGAAAAAAAAAACAAATATTTTAACAAATACATTTTTTACTTCTCTCAGAATCTTAAACAAAACAAACCCACTTATTTTAATGGTATAAAATTAAAATCCTATGGATAGAATTTGAAAAAAATTAATTCCTAGTAATATTATATATTACTATACAATATATGCAATACAATTTATTTTTGTACACGTATTATTTTCTATTGTGTAAGTATATATTGGCAACATAAAAATATTTTCTAATAATAACACCAATTATTTACGCGAAATATTATATTAAAGAATAGATTAGGTAGTACGGCGAGAAGAGTAGGCAATATTGACACGTGCCGGTGTACATTTTCTATCTTTGCGATATAATATTATAGCTTTGTACGAGGTGTGGCTAATAAATAACGAGACTACTCGCCTAGAAGGCGCCTTAGATGAGTAGTGAAAAAAACGAGTAATGCGTTGGGTATCTAAATATCTTATCTATGCACGTACCAAAACACGTTTTCGTCACTATTATAGTATTTGTGCAGTAGTGGTTTGAAACGAACGTGTTTTTTTCTCGTGCCGAAAACCATGTGTGACGAAAAACATGAACAACGGATAAACGTAAAATTTTCTCGTTAAACTAAAAAAAACTCCAACTGAGTGCTATAAGTTGTTAAAAGAGGCCTATAGTGAGGATTTCCTATCTCGGGCGCGTGTTTTTGCGTGGCATAAATTATTTTCTGAAGGTCGAGAGTGCACCGGAATCCAATTCAGTCGTAATCCAAATTCAAAACCATGCTGATCGTTTTCTTCGATATCAATGGCATCGTGATCACTGAATGGGTTCCAGAGGGTTAAACTGTGAACCAACATTACTATTTGACAGTTTTGGCAACATTGCGCGAATGAGTTCGTAAGCAACGGTCGATATTGTGGAAAAACAAGTCGTGGATCTTGCACCAGGATAAAGCGTGAAGCGTTATTTGGCCGCTTAAGGCACTCCAGTACTCGGACACGCGTCTTACTCACCCGACTTGACACCCTGCGACGTTTAATTGTTTCCGAAGATAAAGTCTGCCTTAAAAGGAATCCGGTTTGAGTCGATGGAAGAGGTAAAACAAAAATCGGCGGAACTCCTGAATAGTCTTACGAAAACAGACTTCCAGCACTGCCTCGAGCAATGGAAGAAACGAATGAAACGGTGTGTGGCGAGGGGAGGGGAGTATATTGAAAGGGAGCATTTGAATTTAGAATAACTTTTATAATAAAACACTTTTTCGTAACCAGTCTCGTTATTTAATAGCCACATCGCGTATATTATTTAACCCCTTCCGCAAATTGTATCAAAAATAGCACAAGTTAATTTTTATCGATTATTTCACTAAGAAATTATTCAATTCCAATACTTCCTACAAGGCTGAATTTGGCACGAAAAACTGAACTCGGCATGAATAACTAAATAATTTTGAAATAAGGTACTTTTATCTAGGGGTAAAATTGTGTACTATAATTTATATAATAAATAAAAAACAGATAAATGTGATACATAAATTAATAAATAATTAAATAAATATAATATGGTGTATTTTGTTTAGTTTTTTTTTATAAATGCATATGTCTCATATAATATAGCACATAATACTGTTGAGTAAGTTAATGCATAAAGTTCTTCACAAATATATAGTTTTGGTGCGCGTTGCACCATTTATGGCACACATTAAATTTTAGCTCTTTGGGGTAAAAAAAAGTCGATAAATTTTTTAAGTATTTTTCCATGTCATCTTGACTACAAATCTATACACATATTTTAAAAAAATAATAATAATAATACAACTATACATTCAAACAATTTTAAAAACAAATAGGTATGGTAATTTCAATATTGTGCAAAACTTTTCTAGATCAACTGAAAGAACACAATAGTAGAAAATAATTGTATTTTAATTTCACTTAGTCATAAGCATAACCATTATAATTTTAAAATATTTGTAAGTGGAATTTAAAACTTAAACGTATTTTTAAGCATACTACTACCCTGTGATACACCGAGTGTTTAATAAAACAAAATTATAATTTAAATATAACTATAAACTTTTTAAACATTTAAGCACTTACGATTCCTAAGAAAATACTAAATCAAATAAAACCGATAACCAATTAAGTATAAAAAAAAGTCATATTGAAGATATATTCATAAGAAAATAATTCTTCATAAATGGAAATTGACAACAAAATTAAAATTGAATTTGAGTATTTATACGATATATTAGATAAATTTGTCTAATTATAAATCCAGAATAAAATACTTAAATTAGTTAAATTTAATGAGTATATTATACAATTATAATAAATTTATATTTATACTATCTTAAATGTATACATATATTAAAGAAAAACTTAATAATCTCAACGGAAAATAACTACAGTATAATGAAGTACATCTTAAAGTATTGTAGACTATTTTTATGGATTAATAAAGTGCACATCATTCTCCAGTACAGTATAGTATCCCGTACATATTATCGTAGAATTCTTTAAAAATAAACATAAATCAAATTATTTTTTATCTTTTATTATAGACAATTTAATATTTCAGTTATTTAGCATAATACGGTTTAAAAAATAATAATCATAAAAGGAAAACATATACCTACTATAAATATGGTAAGAATAATGAATAATAAAAATATTAATATATTATACATTTTCTATCAATTTTAAATTTGAAATGTAAAAAGTGTTTTTTTTAAATCGTTCAAAAACATTAGGGTAAAAAAGGTGGGAGAATGCATATATTTTGTATAAACGTATTTCGGAGAAATCCGTGATGAAACCGTTCGAAAAACACAGATACCATACCAACCAAATTTCTGCAGTGTATAAATATATCTTAACTCGATACTTTGTTTTTAACATTAAACCATGTATCGCCCAATCGATCTAAACACGATTTACACAAACAGATCATATACGAGTATGGGTACCTAGACAGTATATATTTAAACTAATAATGATATAACGGAAGGAAACTTTGACAAATGTCAGTTTTCGAATTTATTGCTGATTTTGAAATTGTGGAGGTGATGATATGATATTATACTGGTATACGATATAAAATATACGTACCGGAAAACAGTATATAGAGAAAATCCGAAAAGAAAATAATATACTCATCATCGCTCCGCGCGCGCATAAAAAGAGCTACAAAAGATCACTGTATTATAGGACGTTGCGGTTTGAGCTATGTGCGTAGAGAATGAGGAGCCTGGTCAGATGTCGGTATAGCGGTGACGGCGGTGGTCGGGATAGTGGTGGAGACGACAAAGGGGATTGCAATGGGCTTTTGTCGGACGTTTGGCACAGATACAAACGCAGAGGCGCCAGTTCGTCCTCGGATCGGATATTACTGTAACACTAGGGCAGGGTGTCTCCACGTCTTGCCCGAGACTTGCGCCGATGAGAGAGAGGACGATGAAAACCTCTAGGTGGCACGCCCTCTGCAGCAGTGTATTACTAAAACGACGACGATCTCTCCGTATCTAAGTACAAATGCATACGCATAACACATATACAATTTAATTCTGCCACTTCATCGTCTATCTCCAAATATTTTTGTTATTTCGTCGGACGCAATAGAATATACCATCAACTATTCCACGTAAACATTATTCACTACACACCGGTAGTGGTGATAGTGTGGTAACGTGAAACTTAGAATGCAATACAATAATATAATAAAATGACTGTACAAATATAGATACGACAAACCGATTTCTCGAGAATCCCGTCATTCTGACAATGTTATCTCTTTTATTTGACCAATAATCCAAACAATAATTTATAACCACGCCTTTAAAAATAAAAAGAAAGCTGATACTGAGAATGAGTTTATCACTGTTGTAGGTGAGAAGTCAGAAAGGTAAGATACATAATCTTGTTTAATTTACATCTGTAAGCAATGATAAATCAATAAGTCAATGCTAACAAAAAACGATTCAAAGCAAAGTTTGAGTATATATATTTTAAATGACCGTACTATTTACGATTTTTATCAAAATTTGATATTGAAACTCTTATAAAAAAAAATACTACATTATAATCAACTTATTTTGAACCGCTAATTGCAATTTAATATAATGAACTTTGTATTAAATAATTTTTACTAAACTTAATTATTTTAATATGTTCAACTTTTTTTTTCTTTTAGAAATATTACTTCAATTGAAAAATAATAAAGGATCAATTTCGATTTGTTTACGAAACATACGGTTTTTTTTAAATAAATATTGCTCCAGTAGATAAACGACGTTAGACCTTCTTTGTTGAAGTTTTAATCTAGTTGATTACCAGGAAAGTCGTTGTTTTATTTTCCTTGTAGTTTTTTAATAATTGAACAAAACTGAAAAATAACCAGACAATTTACGAAAATAACACTTTTTTAGTTTTAAAATTTATTTTTTTATGTAATTTAGTTTAATACACATTCATAAAGACTTAAAATGTTGACAAAACTTATATTTGCTTTTTCTTGACATAGTAAAATGTCCAAAACATTTGATCCATTTTAAACTTATAATAGACATTTTAATTTTGCGGGTTTCCAATCTGTGGATAAAATTACTATACTAAACAGAAACTCTTGACAATTCAAAGTAGGTTTTTTATGAGTTGTGCTTTGTGGTTCATAAAACAAAATATATTGAATATAATATACCGAATATTTTTTTTATAAAGATATTTAAGATATTTAATGTCAAATTTTAACAAAAATCGTAAATATATACAGACTTGCTTTTAAATATAAATTAAATAAATTTACGTAGCCTACATTCCCAACTTCTCACCAATAACAGTGGCTGCATTCGTCCCCAGTATCAGCTGTTATTTTTTTATTTGTATTAATCAATCAAACAAAAATATTTACCTATAATTTTTTTCGATTTTTTTCTCAATTATTTTCAAACCCTTTGGAAAATAAAACAAATGACCAACTGACCAACTAGACAAGATTTCCATTCAGAAAAATTACTAAACTCTACACATCGGGGCAAGCACTTTTTGGATAGTTGTTTACAGACAGCAGAACAAAAAATATACATGATAACATAACCAATAGATCTCTCTCGTTACGCCCTAAATCTAAAATGTAGAAATGGATGATTGATATCTAACATAATGATAAATATTCAAAAGGATATAATACAAAATCAAACGTAAAATTACGAAAATTAAAAAAAAATAACATGGTATCATACTTCTAAAACCTTTGATGCGTTTACGAATCTTTCAGTCTTTCAATCTTTCAGAATCTTCTAGTCTTTTGTGTCCCGTATTTATGGGTAACCTGTGTTTATCAAAAATTTAAGCTACTAAAACATAAATCAAAATTTATCTAATATATTATTCGGCAAGAACAGTTAACAAGAATATTTGGTTTTTAACAGCCAACAATAAAATGCACTGAAATATAAACACATACTTTTAATCTGATCTTGTGTAAGATTAACCTGTTTTAAACTATCTTCTCTGCATAAAGGAATCATAAAATCTGTTCCTGGTCTTCCGGTTTTTAATCTTGATAAAGTTATATTTGTTGGATAGTAATCATTATCCTCCCCAGATTTGTCTTTTATTATATCTGGTGTTTTTCTTAATACTAGTGGAATTGTATGAATAGAAGAATTACCAGCACAATTTATTTTTTGATAAACAGCAAATCTCAGATCGTACACTTCTCCTTTTTTAGTTTGGGCAAGTTTTAAAATTGGCATAACAAAAAATGGATAACCAGCACCTTTACCAAATTCTTTTTCTATTTTCTTTAAGTTTTCACAAAAACGTTGTTTAAAACTGTTGTTTGACTCACCAGTTTTATATCCTATAATTCCCTTACTCTGCCCACTGCCACTAGGTTTGTACAAAGGTTTCATTCCTAGTTTTTTAAAATCGTCTAATGCTTTTATAATACCGTTAATGCCATCTTTTTCGTTAACTCCTCGAAAGTATCGCATTCTATAAGCAGCAAGATCATTATCGTTCATATTAGATACTAAACTTAACTCTTCATCATTTTGAAAATGATATAATTTATCTAGACCACAAACATCATAGGTAAAACCTCTATTTTGAGCTAGAGTTGATAATTCCTTAAATTCCTTGCTAGTATGAAATTTTTCACGTGCCAAAGCAGTAGAAAACTTGTCACCGCCTTCTTCAAATGATACGTTCATGATGTGAATTTTCTTATAATCAAGCTTTTTATTTTCTTTTTTGCTAAGATTTAATGCTGCCCGGTCGTTAACAAATCCATTAATCGGCCGACCAAATAAATATGGCTGACCATGTTTAATATTGCAGCACTCTACAATATCTCTGGAATAACCTAGCAATACCATTGGTTTATTAGCATATTTTTGCATAGAAATTGTAGCACAAGCATACGCATTATTGATTTCCTTGTTATATTCATCTTCATTTAAAACCTTTTTATTAAAATTCATTTGAGCAATATCAATTTGCATGAAATAGGATTTTGTAATGTTATCAATCGTTCCAACATAGCAAGGAGTTTTTAATGAACCTATCTGTTCTGCAAATTCATTAACAATAGATAATTTTTCCCAAATTACTTTGCTATTTGCTGATTTTAGATATTCACCATTTATACGCTCTGCACTTTCCCGACCAGAATTAGCCACAACTATCAATGGGTGCTCTCCATTTTTTTGGCATTCTTCCTTAATTTTACAGGCAGCATTTTTATATGAATTAAGAATAGTTTCTAATTGATTAATAGGCAGGGTGTACATACTACCAAAACCTGTTCCATTTATTTCTGAACAATTATAATCTAGTTTGATTATATTTGTATTGTCTTTTATAGTATATGGTAAAACATCAGGAGGAAAGCATATAAAATCGGATGCTTTTATACCAATTGGTAACTCTATTAATGAATTTTTTTCAAAAATATCAGCTAATTTTTGATCTTGATTTTTGCTAATTAATTTTGCTTCATCATGTATACCATTAAATAAACTATTTAATTTATACTGTTCTATAGTCTGCAAACAATCTGAAAAAGATAAACCAGAGTTAACAAGTTTTCTTAGATATTTTTTAGATGTTTGATGGTCGAACATTTAAAAAGATAAAATACTATTTAAAAATACTTTGGCTTTAAAAACAAACTACTGGAATTTTTTATTGCTGGTTATATTTTGTGATGAAGTTGCGCGCATGGAACACACTTGTTTGCTTTTAAAGGTGTGGATATTAGATTCGGCGAATACTTAAGGATACAAATTTTACTAACACAGTTAAATCGAATTCTGGTAATGGATCTTTATTTGTTTAGTACTCATAGTTGGTTTATTTGTGTACATATAATATACTACAATTTATTATTTTTACCTTTATTCCCGTATTGTTTTTCCCGTATCAATATATTGAACGAAAGTAAATAGGTTGAGAAGTTCAATGGATTAAAAGTATTATAGTGTCTTCTTTTTTTCGTCCATGTTACCATAGATAATCGCACAGCACATTATTACACGGTATTAATTATATTATATCCACTATAATAACGCTAAAATTATAAAGATATAATAGTATAATCTAGTGTTATTATTTATTAACGTCCAAAAAAACACAAAACTTCAAAGACAAGGTTTTACGTGTTTTCACTTTTCATTTACCCGCCCAGTACAGCGCATAGTTTTGTATTTTTCTGTTGCTAGATAATAGTGTAAATAATAGTAATCTATACTTAATATTAAAAATAGGAAAAATGTGTATGTTTGTAACGAATAAACTCAAAAACTACTGAACTGATTTCAAAAATTCTTTCACCATTAGAATGATACATTATGCCCGAGTAACATAGGCTCTCTTTATTACTAGAAAAAATAGGGATCCCTACGAAAATTGCAATAATTAGGTTTTTATATATTTTTTGTAATTGTTTTTTTAATTTATATTTTGTTTATTTGTGGGTTACCTGGATGATAATTCGGTTGTCATGGACAAGAAAAATAATAATAATAGTAATAATAGTAAAATAATATTATTCTCGAGGCGTTTCGTTCACCCCCCCCCCCCAAAAAAAAGGGTATTTGGGTGAGAGCCACGGACTCCGTCGTGGTTATCGTGTTAACTACCGGCGGTATATATTTCCGTAGAAAAATTACGTTATAAGTTCCACGAACTTGATTTTTAGCAGAGTCAAAAATTGTATACGCGTTATTTGCCTTAATTGAATGGACAACAAAAGATCCTTCATAAAGTAGAAAGAATTTGTGGATTTGCCTAGCTATAGCATACGACAAATTGTGTGTTCAAACTAAAACCTTATCACCTATTACGAAACGGGGTGAAATTCCCTTACTACTATGTCGACATTTCGAGGCTCGGCTTTGTTATTTTGGATTTCTCTGGCCAATATGTATTGTGTATTAGGATTTTCTTTACGGTCGGGAGGAGTCTCTACTAAGATACCAAATGGATGATATCTCGCGGTTCTCATAAATATTTCTTGGAGAGTAGAACCCGTAGACTCGTGGACTGTATTATTGAGGACCAATTCTATATAATGAATATATTGGAACCAACTTGTATGTTTTTCATGACAGTATGTACGGAAAAGTCTACCAACTTCCCGCATTACCCTTTCGGACGGATTGCTTTGGGGGTAATATACACTGGTAGTTAATACTTGAATACCTAACTCGGTCAGTCGACTTTGCCAAATGTGGCTGATGAATTGTACTCCATGATCGGAGACGATGGTTGTGAGCTTTCCGTGGACTTTTACAAATTGATCGATCATGCGATTAGTTACTATTAAAGCAGATGCTTTCATAATGCGATATATACGCACAAACCTAGTAAAACTATCGAGGGAAACAAAAATAAATTTATTACCATCCCACGCCATGGGTAATGGGCCAAATAAATCAACACATAATTTTTGGAGGGGTTCAGTGAACAAAATATTCTGCATAGCGCCTTCAACTCGATTAGTGAGAAAATTCGCTCTTTGGCAGAGGTCGCAATAGCATATTATTTTTCGCGTTCTTTTATATAATAAAGGGAAAAATGCAATCTTTTTTATAGCGGAAATACACTTCGGGGACCTACGTGACCAAAATGTTGATGGTATACCTGTATTAAGGAATTGATATATTGTCATGGAATACATATGAGCCATTTGGTGGAAGACGGCGAACGTCGATAATATAAGATGTTATTTACTAATGTGTAATAGGACAAGTACTTGGGACAATGGGTGAACACATTTCTTTTAAGTATTTCAATAAGCCTATCTAATTTGCGATCCACATGCTGATTATTTATAATGTGTTTCAAAACTTGCAAGTGGCATTTGATTTCATCTACCATGAAGTCAGTTCTCAGAGCCATTATATATGTGGTTTTCTAATTCTGTTGACATATATCTCTATCGGGAGGATTGCGGGAGATGAAATCTATAATATTGGTAGGACCGGGGATATGTTGAATTCTTAAATCGAATTCTTGTAGAGCTAGTGTCCAACGGATAAGACGTGCGTTTCTCGACAACGCAAAAGAAAGATCTTGGTGGTCAGTAAGTACATAGACGGGGTAACCTATTATAAAGATACGGAGTTTGGAACAAGCATAGACAATGGATAATAACTCTAATTCGGTAATAGAATAATTTTGTTCAGCAGCATTTATTGACCTACTTCCGAAACTTATTGTTCTCCGTTCGTTGTTCAAACCTAACTGGAAAAGTTCAGCGCCTAGTCCTAATTTGTTAGCGTCAGTTTATAAATGGAAGGGGTCGTTAAATATGGGATGTGACAAAAACCTATTGGGCATTTAAGAAACACCGCCACGCGGTGTATTCATATGTGGGCCTCTGCGTCATTTCCAGAGGCATTCATTTAATGAATGGGACAAGAATCGTTGCTCGTTCCGGAGAAATTACCATTTAAGGGTACCTGAGTGTTGGTTGCAGAATTAAGATGCTATTTCTTAGAGAGATTTCGCGTATACTGACTAGAGCGTCTACAATTATTGTTACCAGTATAACTATCATGGTTTTGATTATCTTGAATACCTAAAGCGGTGGGAAAATGTTGGGTGATGATCCCTACAAGATCATATGAATTTACAGGGGGAGATAAATATTTTAGCAACCCGAGCCATAGCATGGTTCGCTAATCCTCGAGGGGATTTATAGTGATATGGAGAGAACAACTCGTGACGTACGTGTCGTTGGGTGGACATAGACCAAAATTTTTGTCGGAAAAGATTGACTAATTCTATATGGGTATCGGGACAGGGTACTAATGAATCAAACCATGTTCTCGCAAAAGCATATAAACGGCGTTGAAAAATACCTATCTTCTGGGTATCATTTATAACTTGATGGGCGAAATATTGATTTAATTGTTGCAAGAATTTGTTCGGGTGAAGATAAGATTTATTACCAGTGAACTGGTGTACAGCATCACTTAATCTCTGAAGAGCAAAAAAAACTAACTACCTACAAGGAACTATCCAGTCAATACTGATGTAAATATATTCTTCCTGAAAGAAGGATATATATATAATGAGAAAAAAAACTAAATTGGATATCCCTTAGTTCGGGGTAAACATGGGGATAGATATATGAGTGTGGGGAAATAATATATGTAAAGATCGGGGTATTATTCAAAGATACCTACCTCGTGTACTCGGACACGGTAAAACGGATGCATAGGCATGCAACGAATTTCTATTTTTATCGACGGGAAGCGATCGGTTCGCTTAAATACGTAAGACTCATAAGGTACATTAGTAGAGACTTCTTAACTGCTAAACGCAAATGTGTGTACGGGCCTATAGAGACAATTTATAGGTACATGGATATATTGACAAAGGTTACCGGGGGAACAAAGAAAAAAAAAATTATTAAATATGTGTGAGTATACACTTAATGACGCTGCATTAAAATAAAATATTAACGGTCAGAGACTGAATGACTGTAGTGTTTTTCACCAACTATAACTACCTCACCTACCATCGCAACGCTGCTATCCTCGTTCTTCTCAGGGACTGAAATATCAAACACAGCAACAAAACAAAAAAAACAAAAACTAACTCCCTACCATAACAACTACTCACCATACAGGTGTATCGGGGGCTGGGGGTCCGTAAAGACGGAGGCCATACTCACACCGAAAAAAAAAAAATGTCAACTGGTGGCTAGGGTTCACGATTGAAAGCCATACCTACACGGCACAAAAAAAAAACTCTCCCTTCCATAGCCATAACGTGTGTTGAATGATTTCTCGCCTGCTGAAAGAGGAGGAGAACTAACATGTCATAAATAAAATAATGATAACTATCAAAAGAACTGAGGGGAAAAAATATTTATTAAAGGGAATTAGATAATATTCGATCGCAGCTCAGGCGATTATTGAATGGGTATTGGTTTGTCAATGTATAAATAACAAGAAAACGTAATAAATTATGACCGTTCAAGTCACTGTAATAATGGGAAAAATAGAGATATTAAGTACAAGTGCACACAATGCGCGCCCAATAATAATCTTATCTTAGTTAATAATAATTACGGCGGCGGACGACGGATATGTTATTGTCGTGTTGCCGTAGTGGACCTTGGGACTGGGCATGTATGCCGTTAACGAAAATGTTGATTGAGAACGAAACATACGATCGCAATCTTTGGACTCGCCGACCGTTAAAGTACCGTCGTATTAAAGAATACGAGAATAGAACCGTACTATCCTGCAAGTAATTAAAAACAGCAACAAAAGGTTCTCGCGAAAGTAATATTGTGACCAATAACCCGTGCGATAATTTTAAGAAATATACGTATGTACGTGATTACGGTATTGAGGAATTATTATATAACGGGGAAATATAGATCTGCGCTTATACGCAATTCAAACTAAATGAAAGGAAAATAAAAATTATAAATCGTAACTATTTCAATGGAACCACATCGAACTGTTTTTCATACTGCCAGGGGAATAAAAAGAGAAGTAAAGTATTAATAACATAAAGAAAAAAAATTATAATTTCGGATCCTGACAAGATCGCCATCTGAGACGCACCGGTTCGGTCGGCCTTGTGTAAGAGAACCGACCCGACGTTCAGCTGACTACTCGCCTAGGAGCAAGGTCGCCAACCTAAGACCGAGGTCCGAAGACCTTAGTCCTAGGATTTTTGTGAGGAGGGAAAGGAAAAAGGAGAATCTAAATAAATGAACACGTGTTTTCTTTTGGGGAAAATATAGAATTATTTTATTAACTTATCAATCAAAAAGTAAAACTAAGTTAATGCAACAGAAAAAATAACTATTGTTCGGACATGAAATGAATGTATATTACATTAAAATGTTTACAATAATATCTTTTACAAAATGGCAATATCGAACATTTTTATAAAGTGATAAAAAAAAGTTTATTTTTTTTAATAATTTAGGGATGAAAATTTAATTTAATTCAATTGCCCTTTATATATATGTCCCCATTGCACAAAAACCGAATGAAAAAAAAGTAATATTGACAGAACTATTAGCTCAAGGCTTAGCACTGTAGGACACCTGTATATTAGATAGATAATATGCGATATGATAGATGATAGATTGTACCATAGATGTGCAAGGTAAGTAATATTTTACCTTTTATTTGAATATAACATAAATACAAATATAATTATATGATCACCTACCTAATTTTTCCAAGGGAGAACTTCTATTCTTTGTACTCTGTATACGTCCACTATGCATCATATTTACTTAAAATAATGTATCTTTTAACTGAAATACAAAACAAAGAAAAATTATTATTGTTCAACTTAATTCAATTTAATACTTTACATGAATAATAATAATGCGATGTAAAAATTAGAAACACCTATAACATTATAGTTAACATTTTTACTTAACAACTTCTAAATATATAATTATTTTTAATCAATTTATAAACTTAGAAATTGGTGACAATTTTACTATATGACACAAATAACTACTTATTAGTTATTATTATAATTTTAAAGTAATTTTCCACTCAGCAAAATGGAGAGGCGGTAGTATAAATCGTGACAATAATACACAGAAAAATAATATTCAGCAATGATTTTGAAGAGAATGATAAAAACCAACTGTTTGTGGACCAACGACATAACGTTCACTTCGATCGTCAACTCGAGTACGGACTTATGCCATACTTTCAATCAAAAATAAACCACGAACCATGGTTAAGAGATAAATCAAAATGACTTAAAAAAATTCGGCTTACCCGAGCTTGGTATAGAAAACACCCATTGCCATTTTAAAAAATGCAAATTGTATTGCGTATGCTCACTGAAATTCGGGAACCAATAAAATAAGATATGAAATTATAACAATTTCGAATTTTCAATATAGGTCAACAAGAATGAAAAATTAATATGTTAAATGACAATGATGTATATGCATATATAATAGTACTAATTATTAATTATATTTATTAATTATTAAATATAATATGTGTAATATACAACATAAATTCATTTATTAATTGATTACAATTATTAATTTATGTTAAAACATTACGGTTTACGTTTTAAGACACCGGTGATGGACACTGCAATGAACCGGTACAATGCTATTACACGGCGGTATGCATCTTCTATCGACAAATCTTCAGTGATGTTTATGTTTGAAGTATATAAAGAACACTAAATGAAATTAGAAGTCGTTCTTTATTTATTGACACTTGGTAGCCCGATAGGGTGTTCAAAGGTAGGTAAGAAGCGGTTTCGACAGTATTTCGGACGTTTAGGAAAAAAACCATAGACAAATTTGCGTATATATATATTATT